CCATCATTAAATGAATCCTCTTAGGGGACTGCAGCTAGTCTTTTTCCCTTGGAAGGGGCTTCATTCAGCTTTTGACTTTTGTTAGTTCCAGATGGCCAGAAGCTGGATTTTTGTACAGGGGAGTGTGGCTTTGTTTCTATTTTTCTTTGCCGGATACCAGGGGACAGAGATTTTTCAGGAAGACCAGAAAATAGTGCAGCAGGATCTTCTGTTTGTTATTTTAAGGCTATAGGCTGTTCCTTGCCTCCTTCAGACCAGACTAGAGGTGCTTTGCAATCACACCTAGTATGAAGGGCCAGGAAGAGGTGGCTTGCCTTCTGAGAACAAACATTTATTGGGCATCTACTGTGTATGAGGCCTTGAGGTGCCTCCTAGGGTCCTGCAGGTTGACATGAGAAATATATTAGGTTAAACTGTGGGAAATGGCCAATATCTGACCGTTCTTGACTTACAAGAAATGGCAGTTTTGTTCAGTTCAGTCTGAATGGAAAAAGATATAATTAAAGAGCCCTATGCTCCCTACCATAATTGAGAGATTGGCAGGGTGCAGTGGAGACTCGGAAAGTGTGATTATAAACTTGGAAAAGTCAAAGAGGAAGGGCATGGGATCCTCACCTTGAAAAATCAGTAATACTAATAAAATAGTAATGACAGTGAATATTTCCCACCTGCCTGATTCTGTCCTAAGTGCTTTACATTTATTCGTTTAGTCATTTAGCTGTTCTTTGATTGAACAGCTACATTGTGCTCGGTATTTCCTGGGGTGGAGGCAGCAGTCTTGACAGTAAATAAAGTAGACCCCCAGAATCTATCCTAAAGAAACTTCCAATCTGATAGGGAAGAAAAGACAATAAACAGTAAGTAAAGGAAAATGGTGATAAATAGGGTGGAACAAATAAAACACGGGAGTTAACATTCCAGGCAAGTGAAGGGGAGTGGAAGGATGGGGTTGCAGTTTCAAATTGGGTGGTTGGGGGATCATTGAGAAGGAGACTTTTGGGCAAAGTCTTGAAGGAGGTGAGGAAGGTTGCTGGGCTGGTTTCTGGGGAAGAGCCATCCAGATGGAGGGAACAGCCAGCGCAAAAGGCCTGAGGTAGGACCATGCCTGGCATGTTCACGTAAGAGCAGGCGAGAACAGAGTGACAGAGAAGACAGGGGAGATGGGTAAGAGGTGCCACTGGTGGTCAGATTTTGGACCCTGCCCTGTACATCATTGTGAGGGGGGTACTCTTTTTTCCCCCCCTTTTTAACTAGACTTCATGCCACACTTGAGACTCGGACTCATGACCCAAGATCAAGAGTTGTGTGCTCTACTGACGGAGCCAGCCAGGTGCCCCGAGGAGGGGGTACTCTTTTTACTTCTCTTTTTCAGTTAAAAAAACAAAGATACAGAGACATTAGGTAGCTTGTTGAGATGAGACGCTGTCTCATAGAGGACCCAGGGCCTCTAGTAGAGGGCAGTGAGGAGCCGTGGGACACAGCGAGGGCATGGACAGATCTGATGTCAGTGTGTCTTCTGGGTTGCAGAGAGGTGGTTATGGAAATAATCCAGGCTGGGGGGATGAGTTGGACCTAGACAGTGACCCAGTGGATGTAGGTGCTGGGAATGAGGATGGGAGGTCCAGGCCAGGTGAGCACAAGGAGGAAGAGGAGGAAGCCAGGCTGGTCTTAGCTTATTTATTGAACAAACACTTAACAGCACTTCTTTTCTAGGCAACCATCTAAGATTTGACATACATTAACCCATTCAGTCCTCAAAGCATGGTGGAAGATAGATACTCTCATTGTTATTGCTACTTTTTAAGAAAAATGGGTGTATTCTATTATATGTAAGTTATATCTCAATAAAGTTAATTTACAGGGAAAGTATTTTTTTATATTATAAATACTTGATGGTAATGGGGAATTTAGAAAAAAAGGAAAACAGAAAATAAATTATCTGTATCTTCTCTTTTCATCTCAGGTAATCAATATAAATATTTTGGCATATTTACTTCATCTTTTTTCAACTATTCTTCCCATTTTTTTTTAAAAGATTTTGTTTATTTATTTGTCAGAGAGAGAGAGAGAGCAAGCACAGGCAGACAGAGTGGCAGGCAGAGGCAGAGGGAGAAGCAGGCTTCCCGCCGAGCAAGGAGCCCGACGCAGGACTCGATCCCAGGACGCTGGGATCATGACCTGAGCCGAAGGCAGCTGCCCAACCAACTGAGCCACCCAGGCGTCCCATTCTTCCCATTTTTAAAAAATCTTTTATTTACTTATTTGAGAGAGAGAGGGAACACAAGCAGGAGGAGTGGCAAACAGAGGGAGAGGGAGAAGCAGGCTCCTGCTGAACAAAGAGCCTGATGTGGGGCTCGATCCCAAAACCCTGAGATCATGACCTGGGCGGAAGGCAGCCAGCCACTTAACCAACTGAGCCTCCCAGGCACCCTGTTCTCCCCATTTCACAGATGAGGGACACTAGGGCTCCAAGAGGTTGGGCCGTTTGCACAGGGTCAGCCACCTGAAGCCATGTCATCAGGCTCCAGTCTCCAGGGTCTTCATCACTGTGCTCTGCTACCTGGAATGTCAGTTGGTGGGTTCCCGTGAGCCACAGCCCCGCACTCACCCCGCCCCAGCATCAGCTCACACATAAGGAAAGCGAGGCTCAGAGAAAGGTAGGGCCTTGTGGAGCATCTCTCACCTAGCTGGGAGCAGATAGGTGAGGTCTCATTCTGACAAGAAATAGGATGCTGAGAACTTGTGCACGGTTGATATGGCAGCTGCTTTCGGTCTGGCCTTGAGCCCAGAGTTTGCAGGGGGCTGGCAAGTGGTGTGACCCCACCCACAGGCAGTGCCCAGGACTGCAGGGCTGGGCTGTCTGCGACGCGGGCTGCCGGAGCAGGCCTGGGTTTCCTGAGCTCAGGAGTCTCAGCCCTCCCGTGGGCCCGGGGTGGGAGGTGGCCAGGAGACAGGGAGTGAGAGTTTGGGGCCCTGCCAGGCCTGCAGGCCCCCTGGGAGTTGTCTCTTGTACTCTGACTGTGCATTTATTTCTGGCTCTGGTGCCAGCAAACTCCTGGAGCCTCCGGCTGCTAGGGATGCGGTCTCGGCATCCAGGCCCAGCCGGCTACCAGGTGAGCCTTGGGCCGGGGTCTTCCCCACCCCCACACCCCGCCCCACCTGCAGAATGGCATCATAATGGTGCCTGCTGCAGGATGAGGTGAGGTGTAGGTGGAAAGTGCTGGCACACGGAGGTGCTCAGTAGATGGGCGGCTACTGTTGCTGTCCCTAAGGCTGCCCCCGGGGTGTTGGCTCGGGCTGGGGGATTGAGCCTGCCCCAGCCAGAGCACCTCCACGACACGACACGCCCCTTCACACCTGGCTGAACCAGGTGGGCCCAGCCAGTGCAGGAGGAGACAGAAATGAACCTGGGGCAGTGGCCTGCAGTCCAAGATTGCAGACAGCAAAAACGCAGTGGAAGGAAGGAAGCCACGCCCCCGAGGAGGGAGCCCGCACCTGGCCGATAACGTGCTCTGTAGGCAAGTCCTGTCCCTTCTTTCTGCCCCTTCTTCTCACCCATAAAGTGGGGAGATTATTTCCTGCCTTGATGATTGTAACGATCTTCATGCCAGCAGCCATCGACTGAGACTTCCCTGTGCTCAAGGGAATGATGGAGAGAAACCAGACCCAGCACCGTCTGCAAGGGTGCGCGGCCGGGGGCGAGGAGGTAGAGGGGGCTCCAGCTCTGATAGGGAAGCCCAGGAGCTTGTGGCCCTCAAAGAGGGGCAGCTAACCTAGCCTGGGTGGGGCTGGAGGTGGGGAAGGCCCCCAGAGGAGGTGATGTCCCAGCTGGGCTGTGAGTGGGATGGGAGTCAGCCAGACTTGGGAGGGGAGGAAAGTGCCGAAGGTCATTAGGTAAATGGCCCACCTGTCTGAGCCCTAGCCTCTTCATCTGTAGAATGGCCCAAAGATAAGTACCTGCTTTGCCTAATTTATAGGGTGGTTGTGAGGCTTAAAATTGGATAAAGAGCATGGAAGTACTTCTGAACTATAAAATGTCAGGCACCTGTGTGTTGTTGCCTGTTGTGATGTCTGGAGACCCTGGCTGTTCAAGAAACACAGGGCCAGCACCCTTCTGGGTCTCAGAGAACATCTGGTCTCTTTTAAAAGGCCTCCAATCAAACCTAACAGGGACATATAGCCTCTGTTCACCTTATACCCCTTGATTTAAGAGCTCAAGAGTATTTCTGTAGGGGCGTGTGGCTGTGCTTAGAGGGGGCCCGAGGACGGCCATAACCCAGTCACAGCCCTGTCCCATTGAAGAGGACGGGTGCCTGCAGAAAGGCAGGCCATACGCATGGACCGGGCCTCAGGACCTGGGCAGGAGGGGCTAAGAGCTAAGGGACGTGCCAGGGGAAGGGGTGGAAGACGGGAGCGCCATGAGGTCACTGAGGAGAAATACTTCTGGGTCAGGGAGGTCCGTGAGGCGACATTACCTGGAAAAGCAAGGCAGAGAACACGGTGTGGGCACTGAGCCTGCTTGGGTTTGAATATGGGAGAAGAATGTATGTCCACGCTTGTGAATACGTGAAAATACGCAGATAGACACATCAAGCTGGTTGATGATCGCTTTTACTTTTGTTTTTTCTATATTTTGAAATTTTTGCACGCTATTTGACGTTTATTTCTAGAACAAGTTGTCCGCATGTAATGTATGTGACAGTATAATGCAGAGAGTATAAGGGTCTGACGTCAGCAGGCTGGAGGGTTCCAGGAGGCACCCACAGCGGGTGGTGTCGGGTGAGGCCTGGATGGTATCCTCCCTGCTGGCCTTCAGGACAGTTGGGAGCGGGGACCAGGGGTGGCTTGTTGGAGGCAGCACTGAAGGAGAGGTGTCTGGGACAGGTTCTAGGATTCTTCCTGGGACAGAGACGGGGGTTGGAGGTGGCTGGCAGCCCTCTCCGCACGGTGGGCAGACTGTCCAGGCAGGACCGCAGGCCCTGGCAGTAGGAGCACAGGTCAGGTCCAGAAGGGTAAGGGTTCTCCTGGCACTTGGGCCACCCCCTGAGTGGGACTGGGATGGCAGGAACAGGTCCAGAGGGCCCGCTGGCTAGGGAAGGGGCCTTGTAAATGCTTCAGGGTCCCACCCCAGTCTGCCGACCCCCACAGACCCTTCTCCCTCAGTGATGCCCTCTCTTGGTCTTCGGTGCGTGGGGCTCTCACACACCTTCCCGCCTCTTTACAATGGAAGTAAAGAAACTAATCTCCTGTCGTATTTTATTGGATGCAGGGTACCATCTGTTGTGAGATATACCATTGTTTTATAACCCATTAAGAAAGGAAAAACAGCAAACTCTAAGTTGCATTTCAGTTTCAGAGATGTTAAATGTCAAAAAACCGGGTCTTGGAATCAATCAGAATGACAAGCAGGAGGGCCCCACCCTGGATTCTTTTTTTTTTTTTTTTTTTAAAGATTTTATTTATTTATTTGTCAGAGAGAGAGAGAGAGAGAGAGAGAGAGATCACAAGTAGGCAGAGAGGCAGGCAGAGACAGAGGAAGAAGCAGGTTCCCCGCCGAGCAAGGAGCCTGATGTGGGACTCGATCCCAAGACGCTGGGATCATGACCTGAGCCGAAGGCAGCCGCTTAACCAACTGAGCCACCCAGGCGTCCCCCCACCCTGGATTCTTAATGTACATATACTCATCTAATCCTCTGTCACCTCCTGGCTAGATAGTCTTGTCCTCTGTTTACAGATCAGAAACGGGCCCAGAGAGGTTAAGGGATTTTTGCAGGGTCACATAGCCAGCAAAAGATAAAGCTGGGATTTGAACCCATCCATCACTTTTTCCTCACCCAACCCCACAAAGCAAAGGCTCCTGAGCGCTGGCCCTTCTGAAGAAGACAGCGTTCACATTGCAGAATGAACATAACGCCAGCTCAGAGTTCAGAAATACCCCTGTGGACTGGTCATTAAACGCCCAGAGCTATATGAGTAATGGGGGGAAGGCCTGGAGGGGAGCTGGAGAGATAACGGACAGGAAGGAGCTCAGAGAGCTTCTTGGCTGGTTCATTAACCTCATCCTTGTTAACGATCATTATCAGGACTAGGTTGACCTACGGCCCACCCTGGAGAGAGACCACAGAGACCTGCCCCACACAGATCAATCACCCTAGAGCCTCACCCAGAAAGGCCCACACATTCATTTCCTACAAAGTTATTTTTCGATTTACTCTTGTGAATGAGACCTTTATTTGCGTACGGGTCCCCGAGTGCCCGTGAAGCCGGGCTTGGCGCTAGGGTTACAGCGCACAGCAGAACAGACATAGGTGCTGCTGTGGTGGGGTCACAGACCAGAGGCAATGGACAGTAATCCTCGGGTCCCACAAAACCTGCAACAGGTGCCTGTAGGGGAAGAGACGGCATCAAAGCTTACAGAGCAGAGAATGTGCCCAGTTCAGGGTCAACTGCAAAAGGCTATTCTAAGTGAAGGACTCTTTTTTTTTTTTTTTTTAATTTATTTGAGAGAGAAAGAGATTGAGAGATCAAGTGGGAGGAGGGGCAGAAGGAAAAGCAGACTTCCTGCTGAGTGGGGAGCCCAATGTGGGACTCGATCCCAGGACTCTGGGATCGTGACTTGAGCCAAAGGCAGACGCTTAATTGACTGAGCCACACAGATGCCCCAAAGGAAAGACTTTTGAACTGAGATCTGAAAGACCAGTCAGGGGGAAAGGGAGGCTGCTGGACCAAGGAAACAATGCTGAGGCTGACGGACGTGGACCTCTGAGGACTTGAAAGCTCTGAGTATCTCCAGCTCTGATTCCTAGGCAGGTGAGGCCAGAGAGGTGAAGTGGGCCAGACCCCTAGGCTCCTGGAACAGTGGCTGTGGAGTGACATGCTCAGATGGGCATCTTCTGATAAGATAGGGGCCAAGATGGTAGGTAGGTGAGTGTGTGCAGATGAGAGCAGCTGGTAGCAGTGGGAGGAGAGCTGGGTGATGGTGTACAAGGAGTGTTGGTGATGGGTGGCTGGCGGAGGAGGAGGCCACGCGGGCGACTGCTGGGATATGGCTGTGCTGTCACAAGACCTGCCTTGCAGAGGGAAGGGTCCCGGGAGGAGAAGAGCTATAGTGGGAAAGCTGTCACCCCACTGATACTTGTCCTGGTTTGGGTTTTGTCCATTTTTTTCCCAGCCCTCCTTAGGTATCCTGGTTCATCCAGCACCTGACTTTTGGCGGCTGATGGGGAAAGAGGTCAGTGGGTGAAGGTCTCTGGTGAGGATGAGGTGACGGACCTCGTGGGAGTTGAGGAGAGAGGGGCAGATGGGCGGGGATGAGGTAGAGGAGGTGTCTCCCGGGGCAGAGCTGTGGGCGGGTGTCCCAGATCACTGGACACAAGAAAGCGGCCGATGTTGGATGGCCCAGACGCCATCCCAGAGCTGGCCTCATGGAGAGGCTGCGTCCAGTCTAGGCAGCGGAGTTGAGGCAGCGCCCAATGGGTGGTCAGCAAGGGGGCACTTGGATTAGTGACTTTGGAAGCAGGTGGAACGGTTTCACAGGGTGGCAGAGTGCAGGGTGTGGCCAAGGGAAGTGGGTGACTGAGGACAAGGAAAGGAGGGCCTTTGGAGAGGATACGGCCCTAGGACAGGGGGAAACTGAGGCTGGAGAGGATCTGAGATGGGTCCGAGGTCACACAGGGAGATAGGGGCTCTGCTAGTATGGTTTGCCGTGCTGCGGGTTCCAGATTGCACGGGGTGCTTCCTTTCCTCGGTCCTCCTTGGGAGATGAGAACCTGATGCTGCAGGGTCTGCACATGGCCTTGGCGGGGGGCTGTGGCTAGCCAAGGGGTGCACGTGGATGTGTGCAGGAAGACAATGAAGGGGAGCCGCTAAGCTGAACCTTGTCCAGCAGTGGGGTGTGCGGAGTCTTGGAGGGACTTGGCAAGGGAACCAGTGTAAGCCAGGGCTGCTGACGGGGAGTGCGCTGAGCCTGTTGGGGCTGTGGCAAACACAGTCCAGTTTGGCTCAGTCCAGGGCGTAGTATCCAGTCCTGGGCAGTCACCAAGGGCGGGGGAGGAGGGAGCAGCCTGGCCTGGCAGAAGGGAGTGTTTTGTCATTTCTGTTGAGAATTGCAGGCAGATCATGATAATAAAAGGTCAGACTTTTAGTCTTATTATTGTTTTTAAGTTCTCTATAGAAAATGCACCCCCACCGGGGCACCCGGGTGGCTCAGTCATTAAGTGACTGTCTTCGGCTTGAGTTGTGATCCTGGGGTCCTGGGATGGAGCCCCTCATTGGGCTCCCTGCTCAGCGGGAAGCCTACTTCTCCCTCTCCCACTCCCCCTGCTTGTGTTCCCTCTCTCGCTGTGTCTCTCTCTGTCAAATAAATAAAATCTTTAAAAAGAAAGGGAGGTATTGTAGAGCTATAGAGAGTATGTTTATAAAAAAATTTTAAAAATTAAAAAAAAAAAGAAAGGGAGGGAGGGAAGAAAATGCACCCCCTTCTTGTCTTCACCCAGCCCTACTGCCCTTGTCCCCCTTTCTCTTCCCGACCTTGCCCCCACCTCTCTCCTTGGTTCAGTCCTGGGCCACACCTCAGCTTTGAATGCCCAACTGAGAAGCCATTGAAGGTTTTGGAAGAAGGGATGCTTCTGTCTCAGGGTCGCCCAAATGGGACTCAGCTTAGGAGAAGTCAGGTGGGGAGATTAGGAAGTCAGTGTGGACGAGGGGAGAGGGATGTGGAGATGAGGAGGATGAGAGCAGGGGAGAACAGAGCTGTAGAGACAGGAGCAGGACTTAAGGCCTGTCTTGGAAGGCCCGGGATCCATGCCCACAGCTGCGCACCGCCACACCAGGCCTGGGTTGGCACCTTGGGGGACCACTGGGCTGCCGGGGCTCCAAGCCCTACAGTGTCCAGGGCTCTGGTTGGCAGTCAGAGGTAGACTCCACAGGCTCTAGATCTCACCCCCTAGATCCCACCGCCTAAACAAAACCTTCCAGAGTGTAAGGATAACCGTAGCACCCCTCAGGGGTCACTTCCCAGCACACAGACATCAGGGGGACCTCATGGGTATCCAAATAGCAAACCCAGGAGCTGGGTTTGACTAGTCCCATTTCACAGACAAGGAACCAAGGCTACAGAGGGAAGCAGAGTGACTCTTGGAACCATGGCCTACTGATGGCTCCATGTGTCCCCCCTTCCCATCCTGATAGTACCTATAACTTGACTGGGACACACATCACCTCCATGCCACCTCCAGCCAGCCTCAGAGCCAGTGGCTGACCTCATGGCACGGGGGATACAGCTGCAGAGGGCTGAGAGGTGCAGGGAGCTGAGAATGGCCGAGGAAGGGGCTGGACTGAGGCGGGGACATGGAAGCAGCTGGTTTTCACATCAAGAACTAGAAATTTGCGTTCTCTCTGGGCTCTGCGGTAGGCTAGTTACATCCCTCACCCAGTCTTTGTTTCCTCACCTGAAAGGTGAGGGGGTTAGACTAGACGATCTCTACCATCCTGTGCAGCCTGAAAATCCTGCTGGTCTCCCCGGCTTCTGTTCTGGTAGCCTCCCAAGTGAGGTGTGCAAGACACTTGTTGGGGTGCAGGGAAGAGCACTATCGAGACGATCATTCGGCTTTGCTCAAGGTACAGACCCACCGACACCACTCAGGCCGTCAGACAGCCTCGTGTCTCGTGTCTCCAGAAGTCTCTGGAGAGAAGGGGAAAGTACTTTGAGAAGGGATGGCAAGGATGCCCCTGCTCTCTTTTCAGGAGTTCAGTATAGTTAATTTAACCTGGTTAAGGAATCCAAATTAATCCAGACTAATTAATCCAGATTGGCTTTGTAGATTATATTAACCAGTTTGAACAAAACTAATCCTCACAAAATGGACAAGTGGTTTTAGAAGATTCCCATCTGAGGGTGCCTGGGTGGCTCAGTGGGTTAAGCCTCTGCCTTTGGCTCAGGTCATGATCCCAGGGTGCTGGGATCCAGCCCCGCATTAGGCTCCCTGCTCAGCGGGGTAGTCTGCTGCTCCCT